TTATTCTCATTTTTACAGTATTTTATTGATTATGCTAATACAGTTGTCCTACTTTCCCCTCTTTATTCCCCTCCACCCTGCACACCCCTCTTACCCGCATTCCCCCCCTTTAGTTCATGTCCATGGGTCATACATATAAGTTCCTTGGCTTATATATTTCCTATACTATTCTTAACCTCCCCATCTATTTTCTACCTACCATTTATGCTACTTATTCCCTGTACCTTTTCCCCCTCTATCCACCTCTATCCCTCTCCCACTCCCCCACTGATAACCCTGCATGTGATCTCCATTTCTGTGATTCTGTTCCTATTCTAGTTGTTTTCTTAGTTTGTTTTTGTTACCTCTTTTTCTTTTTAGGTTCAGTTGTTGATAGTTGTGAGTTTGTTGTCATTTTACTGTTCATATATTTTTTATCTTCTTTTTCTTAGATAAGTCCCTTTAACACTTTATACAATAATGGCTTGGTGATGATGAACTCCTTTAACTTGACCTCATCTGGGAAGCACTTTATCTTCCCTTGAATTCTAAATGATAGCTTTGTTGGCTAGAATAACCTTGGATGTAGGTCCTTGCCTTTCATGACTTTGAATACTTCCTTCCAGCCCCTTCTTGCCTATAAGATTTCTTTTGAGAAATCAACTGATAGTCTTATGAAAACTGCTTTGTAGGTAACTCCTTCTCTCTTGATGCTTTTAAGATTCTCTCCTTATCTTTAATCTTGGGTAATGTAAGATGTGCCTTGGTGTGTGTTTCCTTGGGTCCAACTTCTTTGGGACTCTCTGAGGTTCCTGGACTTTTTGAAAGTCTATTTTCTTTGCCAGATTGGGAAAGTTTTCCTTCATTATGTTTCCAAGTAAGTTTTCAATTCTTGCTCTTCCTCTTCTCTTTCTGGCACCCCTATGATTCAGACGCTGGAACATTTAAAGTTGTCCTGGAGGTTCCCCAGCTTCTCCTCATTTTTTTGAATTTTTATTTCTTCATTCAGTCCTGGTTGCATGTTTCTTTCTTCCTTCTGCTTCAAACCATTGATTTGAGTCTTGGTTTCCTTCCCTTCACTGTTGGTTCCCTGTACATTTTTCTTTATTTCACTTTTCATAGCATTCACTTTTTCCTCTACTTTGCAACCATACTCAACCAGTTCTGTGAGCTTCCTGATTACCAGTTTTTTGAACTGTGCATCTGGTAGGCTGGCGATCTCTTCGTCACTTAGCTGTATTTTTTCCAGAGCTTTGATCTATTCCTTCATTTGGGCCATTTTCCTTTCTTTTTTTTCTTTGGTCTCAGTGCATCTGTGAAGTAGTAAGGGGTGGAGCCTTATGTGTTTACAAGGTGGGAAGCAACCCATGTGGCTGCCCTGTGATGCTGTATGTGGGGGAGGGGTTTGAGAGGGAACAGTGCTGCTTGCTCTGCTCTGGGCTGGCTTTTAGTCACTTCCCCCACTACCCACAAGCAAATCGGGCCCTTTGGTGCTAACTCTCCTGTGGGTGGGTTTGTGTAGGTTCTAGGACCCTGTGGGTCTCTCCAAAGAACTCTACTGTGAGTCTGGGAGTTTCTCCTGACACCACAACCCTCACGGGTTTTTCAATCAGAGGTTTAGAAGCTTTATTTTCCTGCGCTCTGACCCTGGGTTGTGCGGTCTGTCTTGCTCCCTAGTTGTTCCTCCCAGTTTATCTGCATGCAAATGTGGGACTGCCTGGTCCACAATCCACTGCTTTGCCAGGTCCACCAGCCGCCACCTTGCTGTGAGTCCTCTCTGCCCGGTTGCCCATCTCTGCCCCTCCTACGGGTCTGGATGGATGTTTCTTCTTTAACTCCTTGGTTATCGGACTTCCATACAGTTCAATTTTCTGTCAGTTCTGGTTGTTTTTTGTTTTTAAATTTGTTGTTGTCCTTCTTTTGGTTGTGTGAGGAGGCACAGTGTGTCTACCTACACCTCTGTCCTGATAGCTTTTTTCCTAAAGCTTTGTATTACCTCATTCAATTCTTACAACAATCCTATGAGATAGGTACCAGTGTTATTTCCTCATTTAACAAATGAGGAAACAGAGACACAAAGAGTTAAATAACTTACCCAGTACCACAGAGTGGTGAAGCTGAGATTAAAATATGAGCAGTCTGACTGAAATGTCTATAATTATAACTACTATGTGATTTACCCCCCAACCCCCAAGGACATGAGCAATGAGTCTGGATCTAAATCTGGGTTATGTCTGATTCTAAATACTTGTGTTAGTCTGCTACACAATGTTGCCTCCAAATTACTAAAAAAGTTTTTAATAATGATGACCATTAAGAACAATTCTTTAAAGGATAAAAAATTTCCCCTACTTTAAAAACTCATTAAAAGAGAAGGCCTTACCTTTAGAATTTAATCTGAACAAAGAAAATCTAACCTAAGCCAAGTTTCTCACTAAATTCCAAAAATATCCAATAGTAACACTGGTTTAAAGATACTGCTTAAAAGTAATACATACATTTTTAGAAAGTAAGGTAGCACAGTAAATCCTATCAAATGCAAATACCTTAATATAAATTCATTGATTATATCTTTTCCACTATGACTACTACTTAAGAATAAACTGTGATAAAAAAAAAAAAAAGCCTGGCTCAGGGAAAAGAGTTTCAGGAAAAAATACTAGGCTCTGACATGGAAGAATATGAGTGTTTAGGAACACACGATTATGAACATATTTGTGAGGTTTGATTTTTAACAAGTAATAGGATACCAGACCCAATGACTCACTTAATGATTTTATTCAGACCTAATCTTATTTAAAAAACTGCAAATGGACTAACTGCCAAAGGTAAATCAGAAACCATTCAATATTATTAGCTCAACTCATTTTATTTTAATTAGTTTTTTAAGTATATTATATTGATTATGCTATTACAGTTGTTCCAATTCTTTTCTCCCCTTTATTGCCCCTCCGCCATGCACCTCCTACCCTCCAGCATTCCCTCCACCCACCTTAGTTCATGTCCATGGGTTGTACATATAAGTTCTTTGGCTTCTCTATTTCCTATACTATTCTAAATCTCCCCCTGTCTGTGTTATGCCTAGCAACTATGCTTCTTATGCCCAGTACCTTTCTCTTCTATTCTTCCCTACCCACTCCCCACAGAGAAGCCTCCTTGTGATCTCCATTTCTGTGGTTCTGTTCCTGTTCCAGTTGTTTGCTTAGTTTTTGTTTTTTAGGTTCAGTTGTTGATAGTTTTGAGTTTGTTGTTATTTTACTATTCACACTTTTTGATCTTCTATTTCTTAGATAAGTCCCTTTAACATTTCATATAATAAGGGTTTGGTGATGATGAACGCCTTTGACTTGACCTTATCTGGGAAGCACTTTATCTGCCCTTCCATTCTAAATGATAGCTTTGCTGGATACAGTAATCTTGGATGTAGGTCCTTGCCTTTCATGGAATACTTCTTTCTAGTCCCTTCTTGCCTGTAAGGTTTCTTTTGAGAAATCAGCTGACAGTCTTATGGGAACTCCTTTGTAGGTAACTATCTCTTTTGCTCTTGCTGTTTTTAAGATTCTCTCCTCATCTTTAACCTTGAGTAACTTAATTATGATGTGCCTTGGTGTGTTCCTCCTTGGGTCCAAATTTCATTGGGGCTCTCTGAGCTTCCTGGACTTCCTGGAAGTCTGTTTCCTTTGCCAGATTGGAAAAGTTTTCCTTCATTATTTGTTCAAATAAATTTTCAATTTCTTGCTCTTCCTCTTCACCTTCCAGCATCCCCATGATTCAGCTGTTGGAATGTTTAAAGTTCTCCCAGAGATTCCTAAATCTCTCCTCATTTATTTGCATTCTTATTTCTTCATTCTGTTCTAGTTGGATGCTTATTTCTTCCTTTTGTTCCAAGTGGTTGATTTAAGTGTCAGTTTCCTTCCCTTTTCTATTGGTTCCCTGTATATTTTGTTTTATTTCATTTTTTATAGCCTTCATTTCTTCCTTCATTTTGTGACTAAGCTCAATCACTTCTGTGAGCATCCTGATTACCAGTGTTTTGAACTCTGCATCACATAGGTTGTCTATCTCCTGATCACTTAGTTATTTTTCTGGAGCTTTGATCTATTCTTTCATTTGGGCCCTATTTCTTTGTCTTGGTACACCTGCTATGTTGTAAGAGGCAGAGCCTTAGGTATTCACCAGGGCAGGGCTACCCTCTTTGCTGCATTGTGGTGCTGTCCGTGGGGGAGTGGCCTGAGAGGAAACAATGTTGCTCAGCTCTAGACCCATTTTCCAACCAACTCTCCTGTGAGACTAGGAGTTTCTCCTGCCTTAGCAACTCCCACAGGATTCTACATCCAGATGTTTTGAGTCTTTAGTCTCCTGGTCATCCAGCCTCCACCTCACCTGCATGGTCTGTTGCCTTGCCACAGGTCCTCTCCACCCATCTTCCCTTTTCATCCCTCCTACCATTCTGGATGAATGTTTCTTTAATTCCTTGGTTGTCAGAATTCACACAGTTCTACTTTCTGGCAGTTCTGGTTGTTTATTATTTTTAAATTGGTTGTTATCCTTCTTTTTGGTTGTGCGAGGAAGTGAAATGTTTCCACCTATGCCTCCATCTTGGTCAGAACTCCCTCAACTCATTGTCAATACTCAAAGCTTATTAGTGTTTGAGGATGTTAAGGGAAAAAAACTCAGCATCAATAAAGTTTATATTTTAAAAAGTAAGCTATAACTACAACTACTATTCATAAGCATGAGCCAGTTGTCTATGAAATAATGCTCATAGGATATTCTAAAAATAACAATATTCTGTCAATGTTTCTCAGACGTGTCCTAGGATGATTGTAAGAGAAAAATCCCAATGACGGATCATCACTGTCCTTATCCTCCACCTTGTCATCATTATCTTATTGTACAGTACTTTCTTCAAGGGCTCATAGACTAGTGGCCATCATCTTCTCCCTCCCAGCAACTTAATGCAACTGTTTCTTTCCAACAGCTGTTTCACCCAATCTGGCAAAAAAAGTAGTTCTACATACCTGGTCATGGATGAGCCCATGATAAAGGATGCTCTGCATGTCCCTGCAAAGTCGTTCCAGGCCACCATACTTGGACCAGACATTGGGGTTGTTGGCTGACACTAAACCCTCGACAGTAGTCTTCAAATTACCCAGCAACTGCCAGTGCTCCCTCCTGCAAGAGCATCAGTTATACCAATGGTTAGTTAACTTATTGTACCTAACCCTCATGATGTCATAGAAAGATTAAAGCAAGAATCCTTCTGCCCCACATCCTAACATTCTCTCTTCTACTAATTTTTAACTTGGTCATAAGACCCAATTCTGAGAGGACTGAAGCTGTAAAGAACACCAAGATTAAAAAAAAACAAACCCAAAAACCCTCATATTTACATGGTATATTATGCTTTGCCAGATAATCTTGGTCTACTATTATCCAATCCTAACAAAAGTAGCGAATAACCCTGTGTTTGTAGGAGTATGTCCCAGCAAGATCCTTTTCTGGATGATAACTTTACATGGACAATACACAAAAAAATGAGGACATTTGCTCAAAACCAGAAATCTTTGCCAAATAAAAAAGCCAAAAACAACTTTTTATTCACTATATTTCCAACACTAAGTACACATACCTATACATGTATATTATGAATAAGAATATAAACTGCCCATGATTTTCCCCCCGTGATTTTTTAAGCTAAAATTGAGACAAAAATGTCTTAAGTTTGTACTGAGCCACTTTGGGGCATGCCACCAAATCAGTCAACTATTCACTTATTCTCCTAGTGAAAAAGTTTACAAATTGCTGCCCTAGATGACCTTTAAGATTTTTCTAAGTCTCCAGCATTTTCTCACCACAGCTTCCAACCCAATAAAAACTCAAAACCAACTTCAACTGAATGAAAAAAAAAATTGGATGCACTGAATCAAACTGGATAAGGAGGAGCTGCAATGTCAAATTCCCTCTTTTGGGTCCCCAGCTATTATTCTGGTCACTTTACCTTGCCCCTTAATTTCTCTTCAGAATACTACTCTTTCCTCTTTTCAAGAACAGTAATGAGAATGGTAATCATTTCGTCACAGAACCTTCACCATAACTATTTTACATCATTTAAATTCCTATAGGTTTGGGAGGGTCCTGAATTGGAATCCTTTCTATCTGTACTCAAAATTAACCTCTCTTACACATTTTTGTACATTTTCTGAGCCATTTTAAAAAGTGGATGAATACAGTAAAGGCAGACAAATAAAATTAAATGAATTGGGCTAGGTCTGGTATAGGAATACCATCTAAAAAGAGAAATCTAGATGGATCTCACTCTGGTCTTCTGCTCTGAAAGCCTTGAGGCCAAAAATTTATTCAAACTGGGAGACACCAGGCTTTCTGAACCTGACACCATTAAACATTTCAGCCACCAGCCCTGGCTGGAGTGGCTCAGTGGACTGAGCACCGGCTTGTGAACCAAACGGTCACCAGTTGGATTCCCAGTCAGGCCACATGCCTGGGTTACAGGCCAGGTCCCCAGTTGGGGGCGCACAAGAGGCAACCACACACTGATGTTTCTCACCCCTTCTTTCTTCTTCCCTTCCCCTCTGCCTAAAAATAAGTTAATTAATTAAAATAAAATAAATGAAAGTAATACTGTATCTTTAAAAAGAAAACAAAAACATTTTAGCCACTAGAGAGAGTCCTGTTCTATTTTCTTCCTCCCCACCCCCAACTTTACTGAGATGTAATTGACATATAACATTCTATTAGTTTCAGGTATACAATGTAATGATTTGAGATATATACATATATATATATATGACATATATATATTGCAAACTGATTACTACAACATATTTAGTAAACATCCATCGCCTCACAGTTACAATTTTTTTCTTATGATGAGAACTTTTAAAATCTGCTCTCTCAGCAACTTTAAATAAACAATACGTATTGTTAACTATAGTCACCATGCTGTATATTACATCTTCAGAACTTATTTGTCTTATGACTAAAAGTTTGTACCTTTGGACCACCTTCACCCATTTCCCCCACTTGCCATCCCCTACCTCTAGCAACCAACAATCTGTTCTCTGTTGCTATGATATGAGGCTTTTCAGATTCACATGTAAATAAGATCATACAGTATTTGTCTTTTGCTGTCTGATTTATTTCACTTAGAATAATGTCTTCAAAGCCCATTCATATTGTTGCAAATGTAAGATTTTCTTCTGAATAATGTTTCATTGTGTGTGTATCAATATCACATTTACTTTATCCATTAGGCTTTCAGGGGTCATATAGGTTGTTTCCATGTCTTGGATATTATAAATAACACTTCCATAAACACAGTGGTGCAGATATCTCTTTTTAAATTATTGCAGATGTCTTTTTGAGATAGTGATTTTATTACCTTTGAACATATACCCAGAAAGAGAATTGCTGAATCATATAGTAGTTCTATTTTAAATATTTTGAAGTGTCACCACACTGTTTTCCATTGTGGCTACACCAGTTTATAATCCCACCAATAGTGCACAAGGGTCCTCCTTTCTCCACATCCTCATCAATACTTGTTATTTCTCATCTTTTTGATGATAGCCCTTCTAACAGGTGTGAGGTAACATCTAATTGTGGTTGTCATTTACATTTCCCTGATAATTTGTGACGTGGAACACCTTTTCATGTCCCTGTTGGCAATTTCCCTGTTCTCTTTCTATACCGGGCCTGAGAGATATCTTAAAATAACTAAGATGCACACAGGACTGAGGTGGTCATTAAAATGCCATTTATTGTTATACTGTGAGAGACTGCCATTACAGAGACCAGCTGGTTGCCAACTTTTGCTTAAGTGACTCTCCATCTCCTATGCTTCCTCAGAGCTAACCCGGCCTGTTCAGACTGACCCAGTTTTTGCATTGCAATGAGTTTCAATGAAGTCTTGCAGGCCTGACAGCCAGTCTGGTTCCCAAGTTACTTTGCATATCTGTGTTCTGATTCATTCTCTACTGATCTTACAAGCTTAATTGTCAAAGAGCATCATGATAAATCCTGAAAGCAGACACCAATTGCCCTATCATCCTAGGGCTTTGATGCCAAAACTGTACAAAGAGCACTGAAATCCTAGAAATCTTGAACATTCAGATCTCCAACAACTTTTCTGGACAAAACTAAAGAATTTTCTTTCCCCACATTAAAGTGAACCTGAGATACCAAAGCTACAAAAGAATGTGCTCTTACTCTAAGATACACCAAACCATCTATATTTGGTACATACTCATGTAGAAGAAAAGTAAACTTTAAAAAAATCTTTAATTTATGTAGCTAGTCAGTTTAGTGTCTTAACTTTTTTTAGACTCCTTTATCCTAATTATACAGCTATCATTTTCAGAGAATTCAAATACTAAATTCAATTGAAGCCCATATACAGTGGTTGAAGTAATCTGTTCATATCTGAATCTTAGATGCAATTAAACAGATCACCACCAGAAATCAAATATCCTTCCCCATTCTTTAACCACATTTTAGCAAGTATGATCAGTCTTTCCTAAGTTAAACCTGCCTGATAAGTATTACTTGGGTGGTATCTCTCTGTATTCACAGATAACCTCTATCTGGGCATAGGCCAGCCCTTTGAAGTATATTAGGTTTAAAGTACCCCTTTGCAGAGCCACTTTTGCAGGTACACAGAGTATTCTCCTTGAATCACCATAAATTAAAAGTCTTTCTAAGCTGCTCACCCTCTGCCAAGGAAGCACCAGGCCTGAATGGCAAGAGCCAGCATAATTTACCTCTACCTGAATAATCATCAAGAAGCAGTAAATCCAGTCTCAGAATAAAGTCCTACCTATTTTCTTTTGAGAGGGTTTTGACTACATTCCTCCTTTAAAGAGGAACAGGAATTTCTTAAGCAACTCAAATGAGGATATCCAAGGAAAAAGAGTTTTCCTAAATGCCAACTCAGTCTTAAGGTTGCCAAATTACTATTAGAAGTGACACTCAAGATTAAAACAGAAAAGCTATAGGCAAATGTTACTTTTTAAAGTGTTACATTAAATAGGTGAAAAAATAGTAAATATTATGCAACTATAAAGTGATACTTAATCCAAGAAATATATAATGGCCTATTTTCAACCCCCAAGGTTCTTTTTAGTGGTAAAAGGAAATAGTTTCAACTTATTGGCATATCCCCTCTACAATGTGTCATTTATGTGAAATGGATAGTAGTATCTACCTGAGGTCAGAGTTGAAAATCAGGTTGCCTCAAGTCAGGTAATGATTTGATCTCTGGAATGCGAGGAGAGATATATGACATTATATAATGGAATACTGTGAAACCATTAAAAATTTTGATTAGGAAGTTTCCAAAGCTAATAATAGTAAGTTGAAGTATAAAAAGCAGAATATAAAATTATATTTGTGATCTCAACATAACAATATTGAGAAGTAGCCCAGGTCAGAGTGGCCCAGTTGCTTGGGTGTCATCCTGTAAATTCCTGGTCAGGGCACATGCCTGGGTTGTGGGTTTGGCCCCTGGTTAGGGCATGTACAGAAGGTAACCAGTTGACTTCTGGTCAACATGGAGGCATAGGTAAACATGCTTTGCCTCTCCTACCACTACAGAAAACAATTACATCTAGACTACACATAAATATAACCCAGAACTGTTAGAAAATCGAGCTGTATGGAAGTCTGAAAACCAAAGATTTAGGAAGCCACATTCATCCAAACATGTAGGGGGGCAGAGACTTGGACAGAGATGGAGAGGCAGTGGAATGGGGGTCCCACATTCACATGTGATGGATAAAAATCAAGAGGGATACCTCAGGAGCAAGGGATCCCAGCCCCAAACCAGACAACCCAGCAGCCCATGATTCCAGCGCCAGGAAGATAAATCCCCATAACTTCTGGTTGTAAAAACCAGAGGGATGGCAGAAAAAATTGCCAGATTATCAGGAGACTCCTCTTAAAGGGCCCAGCCAGACTTAGGACTTACACAGACCTAATTCCTCTGGGATTCAGCACAAGGGCAACAGCTGGAAGGGCACAAGTGGCACAGGGGAGAAAGTAAGGAGACTGGAAACAGGGTGAATGGTGGGAGGCAGCTTCCTTCCAGGAAAACCTCCAGAACCCAGCAGGACATTGTCCTCCCCTCCCCTGCACATAGAGCTACAAAGCACTGAAAG